TAGTCGAGTGATGTTATAAGTGTTTAAATATCATTCAGCAATGTTATTTTTTGACTATTACCAGGTTGAGGAAAATGGAAATATCTGTATGCCTTGAAAAATATTCACTATTTTCTTCCATTTAAAAATTTGAAATTTTCACCTTCGATGTGCACCAGATCGCTCCATTTCAGTGCAAAATTGAAAAAGCTCCCTGCCGTGGGAGGGGGATCCCCCTCCCACACCCACCCCCGCTCGGTCGCCTGGCTCCCTCGCTCGGGACGTAGTCAGATGCAGGTTGTAGAATCGCATGATTGTCCGTGCGTGCGTGCGTCTGTTTGTTTGTGCCTCCGTCAACAGTTGGGCACAAATCTAAACGGCTCGACGTACGGATTCGAAAGTCGGGACGTAGGGGGGTAATCCGAAAACGAGTTTGGATGGCGAAGCTGGGGGTCAAAGGTCAAAGGTCAAGAGGTGTAAAAGAAGGGGGAACATTTCCTCCTTAACTTAAGTAAGGTATAGGGAGGGAATGCAGAATTGCGGCAGAAATCTGAACGGCTCGACCTATGCTCTTAATATTCGGTGTATAGTGTGATGGGCAGGAAACCCATCACCAGTGCGTAATTGGAGGTCACAGTCAAAGGGCAGTGGGGGAAAGGTCAGATATCAGACATTTTCTGAGGACATGGCCTAATGGACAGAGTGAAAAACTTTTTTGTTTCAGAGCTGACCTACCATTTTTAAAACTTCATTGAAAGGACCATGAAATGTGCTTTCCACTGACGTGCGAAGAGTAAGTGTCTGATAACCTTTTGACCTTCAAGAGGAGGGTTAAACATGGATTCCTGAACTGCCTCAATGATGTCACAGTGTTCTCATATTCATGGCACATCCATAATCTGGAAAGCTAATAAGTCTGGATAGCCCAATGGCTACAGCACAGGATTACGGCTCAAAAGTCCTTAGATCGAATCCCATCAGATTTTTTATTATTTACTTGTTTTTTTGTATTTTTCTATCTTTATCCAGTGATTACGTCACCGTAAATAGTAAAAAATAAAAAAAATATTTCTACTTTTTCACAAAATATAAGTAATTCTGTTTACATTTTATGGTTAAATTGCTGCATTATACTTCCTATTTTACTATATTGTTCGATGTGAGCATACACTCGTGACCCATACATAGCCCATAGCAAGCAATTAATGTTAGACAACATTAATTCAAATCGTCCAGGTTTTTTGGATTTTTAACTAGTTGAGAAACAATATTATCAGGTAAGAATTTGACGATTTGTTTAGTCCCATTAGTTCTTACTTTTAATGTAAAAAAATGGGAATTTTTTTTTTTACAAAATTACCATAGAAAATTCGTGACGTAATCCCTTTAACTATTTCTTTCCAATTAAGGCAAATATTTACATGATTTATTTACAACAATTTCATAACAACAAATGATTTTTACAACAATTAAATTTTTTTTTAATAGGGTTAGGTTTAGGGTTACAATGCACCATAAAACAGGAGTTTCAGGTACGCGATTTGTATCAACCAAAGGGATTTGGGAGGTATGCAGAATGCAGAAGGTTGCTGAAATAATGTATATGCAACTGCGTATCTACATATCTGCGCCTAACAAAGGTCTCACTACGCACGACTTAAATGTTACGTTTATAACCGTAGCAACAGACCTCAGATGAGCCCAGACGCTCTGCGGCTCTTGTTATTTATAGCTGCATTGCTAAGTTTCGTGTCTTTCTTAAAAATGCTAATCAATTTATGTCGACTATCTCAGTATCTGACTATTTTATAGATATCCTTTTCAGTATATATTCTTATATTGCTGTTGCCCTCATTTTCTGCTACTTGACAGGGTTGAAAATAACTCGCCGATCCGGTGATCCGACGGCTTTTTCAGCTTCGGATCAACACCGGATCATGAAAAATAAAACATCGGTGATCCGACTGTGACCAATCAGGGGCCTCATAGGAACCGACCAATCAGAGGCCTCCTAGCCGCCGACCAATCAGGAGCCTCCTAGCAGCCGACCAATCAGGGGCCTCGTAGCAACCGACCAATCAGGAGCCTCCTAGCAGCCGATCAATCTGGAGCCTCCTAGCATCCGACCAATCAGGAGCCTCGTAGCAACCGACCAATCAGGGTCTCCTAGTAGTCGACCAATCAGCCGATCAGGAGCCTCGTAGAAACCGACCAATCAGGAGCCTCCTAGCAGCCGACCAATCAGGGGCCTTGTAGCAACCGACCAATCAGGAGCCTCCTAGCAGCCAACCAATCAGGGGCCTCATAGGAACCGACCAATCAGAGGCCTCCTAGCCGCCGACCATCAGGAGCCTCTTAGCAGCTGACCAATCAGGGGCCTCGTAGCAACCGACCAATCAGGAGTCTCCTAGCAGCTGACCAATCTGGAGCCTCCTAGCATCCGACCAATCAGGAGCCTCCTAGCAGCTGACCAATCAGGAACCTCCTAGCAGCCGACCAATCAGGAGCCTTCTAGCAGCCGACCAATCAGAAGCCTCCTAGCATCCGACCAATCAGGAGTCTCCTAGCAGCCGACCAATCAGGAACCTCCTAGCATCCGAGCAATCAGGAGCCTTGTAGCAACCGACCAATCAGAAGCCTCATAGCATCCAAGCAATCAGAGACCTCCTAGCAGCCGACCAATCAGGAGCCTCCTAGTATCCGCCTAATCAGGAGCCTTGTAGCATCCGACCAATCAGAGGCCTTCTTGCAGCCAACCAATCAGGAGCCTCCTAGCAGCAGACCAATCAGGAGCCTCGTAGAAACCGCCCAATAAGGTGCCTCCTAGCAGCCGACCAATCTGGAGCCTATTAACAAATCTTGCATCATCGATAAGCGTTAATGTTTTAACAATCGACCAATCTTTCAACAATCAATCCATCATTAATGTAATTTTCGGTTATCACTAATTCTCAGTAATTCTCGAATTAATCAATTATACACAAATTAATCATCATTAAACATACTCATATAAATCATATTCATACAACACTTACCTTACTTACCTTTACTTACTTTTCTTCACTCGTTTAACATAAAATTTCCCTGTAGTTATAGGCAATGAAGCCATTGAAGGGGTCAACACTTTGTTTGTGGTGGTGGCTTAATACCTCTACGCGGAATCACCTAATGCTCACCCCTGAGCCTATGTAAAATTCCTTAATTTTTTAAATCATAATCATCAGTAATGCACTCTTTTTATCTGTGACTATTTGTTGATATTTTTATAGCATTAAAGCCATTATGTCTACTCTTTAAAATAATTAAAAAATTCTGATACATTGCGATTATAGCGCCCTCTCTTTTCTACGGAGCATAGAGGCCCCATTTTAAAACAAAAGCGCACATGTTTATGATTAGATGGCTACCGGTAACTGCTGGCTAAAAGTTATCGCTCTAAGTCTAACGAGTAGATGACTCTAAGACGTTCATAAATGCATAGATATATCATATATGTCATATATCATTAGTCTATGGAGGTGCCAAGCGGATAAATCGCAAGTTAGCGATCCGTCAGGGCAATCTGTGATACCGGCAGAGTGAAGTCAAACAGACGAACTAAAACAGCTGAGCTGCTGTTTTGAAAAGAACTCACTCGTGTTTGACTGCAGCCACGGCACGAGCAGTACAGACGACAGGTTAGAATTTGAGTCAAAGCTTGAATAGTAATCATATTACAATACATACGAATTAAAAATGGTTGATAGACCTTTTATAAGTATTTTAAGGAAATAGAAGAAGATACTCAAACGTTAATTTAGAGGCATAATTTTGAGAGGCCCCTGGCCCTGGTAACATTCGATTTGCTACACACGTACACAGTGTCACACGTTTGCTGGACCGCTTTTTGCTAGGACTCGATTGCAACGTGCTCGCGCGTAGTCGCGTGAATGCCATGAGACTGTTCAGCCCGGCGCACGCGCTCAAGTAAAATGATGTATGCGTCGAAATACTCTTACTCAGGCGAAATATTTTCAGCGTCCGCTGCACACGTGAGTAAAATTACTCGAGGTATAAGTGGTAATGTAGATCACGTGACTGTGCGCAGCCATTACTGGGCGCAGTCATCTTTAAAATGATTTAAACGCATGCGCTATGAGTACCAATGTCGAGTAAATTTACGCAGTTAGCGTGCACACTGTTACGATATGAGATTCATGTACCATATATGTACATCGTTGATGACGTCACATAACAACATATGAGGAGTAATAAAATGGCTACCTATAACTCATAACGTGGTTGAGCGTTGCCTCCTTATTATAGGCCTTCGGGCACGCTTCACATGGTGGCAGCGGTAAAGAAACAGCAGTAATGAAGACATAAAACCGCGGTGAAGACATGGAACAATTGAAAGTGAGGCCAACCACCGTTTCGGAGAAGGAGTGAGTTTTATTGGTCGCCAGAGTGATTCGGACGTGACAATTAACGCCAGCGGCGCGCCATGCATGAGCGTAGGCTAAGGCTAGGCCAATTCTCCCTAGATGCTAGCTGGATACCAAGCTACAGGGCGCGTGTACGCAGTGGATAATCACATTTAACATGACGGAGAACTGCCACTATTAGCTTTATTTCGACTCTACAGAATCCAGCAGTCAGCAAAGCTATCACAGAGTACCGGCTATACAGCCTACATGCCACGGCAGGCGAACGACAAAGAAAAAGGCGGGAAATC